CGAGAAGGTGAAATTAAGCGAGTACATTTTATTTTTTAATTGATAATATATTGAATCAATAATTTCTACAAGATTACTTTGATTTTTTGCACCAAAGAAACTATAAAAAATATTATATCGCCTTGTGATATCTAAATTATGTATTAAGTATTGTAAGTATTCATTAATTTACAACTACTTACAATCAATTACATACTCCGCTTTCTTACGCGTTGTCAAAGGTGATTTATTTGCATTTTTAATATCGTTAAGGTTCACTGCCTCTGAAAGTGTTACACATTGCCTTATACAGACACCATTTAAGTAACTGAAGTTTTTAAATCATCTCGGACTTTTCCAATATGGTGTAAATGTTGACATTTCAAGTTCAGCGAAAGTGATTTACCTTAAAAGCCTGCACACCTTTACCGTTTTGTAATTTTTTTAGCGAACAACTTTCCCGTCTTAGGTGCAAATATGAAGAACAATCGGAAGTTGAAAGTCCCAATACATAGTAATAAATAATGTTTAGTATGTAGTTTCAGTAGCCATGTTGAAATTTGAGTAAAAATAGCTTTTCTTTTATTTAGAAAAGTGGTTGCTTCTTGGTTAGTATTTTATTAGTTAGCTAGCCACTTTCACGTTTTTGGTTGGCAGGAAATTTAATAAATAATTAACATGGACAATAGTTAATCTTTAATGAACTTGTAAAAATATTGTATATACAAAATGTACTTTAATATTTAAGCAAATTACTTTCTACAGACTAATCAACAATACTTTTACAGGAATTTTTTGGTAACTAACAGCTATCATTCGGCACACACATCACACTCGTTGTATTACTTACAAAATCAGTCAATTAATATAATAATTAAAGACTCTTACTTATTTTAAATTAGGTACATGAAAAGTAAACTACACATAACGCAGTAGCAATTGAGCGATATGTAAATACGAGAGGAAAAAATCATAAATTTAAACAAGCGTCATAATTTTCCTCGCGTAATTACTTTGTAGGAAACTATTTTCGTCTTAATTTTGATTGATTACTACTAGGAAATTGAATTGTGGTTGATTCTGTTTCTGACGCAGATACTTTGGTATCATTGTTAATTGATTGAGATGTATTTCCTACAGGAAACTTGGTAAAAATTTCTTTCTTTTCCGAAGCTTCCTCCTTCGAATCAGATCGATCCCATCCATGATGCTGTTCTTCTTCAGAATGCTCAGGAGGGTGATGGTCAGGATACGGGAACCATTCATTTATTATGACCGGTCTCCATATTTGTTTCCAGGCTGGAACCCATATGTCCTTCCATCCTGGTACCCATATTTGTTTCCAAGCTTCCTTCCATTCGAGTTTTTTATCTTCCACCCATATTTGCTTTTGTTCCGTTCTCCATATTTGTTTCCAAGCTTCTTTCCATTCTAGTTTCTTGTCAGCTACCCATATTTGTTTTTGTTCCGTTCTCCATATTTGTTTCCAGGCTTCTTTCCAAACGAGTTTTTTGTCTTCCACCCAAATTTGTTTCTTTGCTGGTTTCCAGATCTGTTTCCACGCTTCTTTCCATTCCATTTTCTTATCTTTAACCCACACCTGTTTTTTAGCAGGTTTCCAATATTTCTTCCAAATTGGTTTCCAAATCAATTTCTTTTTCCAAATGTCTTTGGCTATATATTCAGCACCTTCTTCATCTGCGCCGAGATGTTTATGACCCGGGACCTTTTCTTTAACCCAGATCGGTATGTAATTCTTTTTCCATGCCGGCACTTGAATTTCTTTCCAAGCAGGCACGTCTATTTCCACCCATACGGGTTTCCAGATTTTCTTCCATGCAGGAACTTTTATTTCTTTCCACGCTGGGATTTTCGTGGGTACCCAAACTGGCTTCCAAATTTTTTTCCAGTCGGGAACCTTAATGTCCTTCCATGCTGGTACTTTTATTTCTTTCCATACCGGTTTCCAAATTTTCTTCCAATCGGGAACTTTTATTTCTTTCCACGCTGGTTTCTTGGTTGGTACCCATATTGGTTTCCAGTATTTTTTCCACTTCGGTATCCATATTTGCTTTTTAGACTGTTTCCAGATCTTTTTCCAGCCTTTCTTCCAAATCATTTTCTTTTTCCAATAACCATTTGTGTGATCGTGTGCGTCGTGATGTTCTGTTTCTTCTTCGACATGTTCATCGACCCCATGGCCATGATCACCATGATGATCTTCTCCGGAAAGGTCATGATGTTCTGGGTGATGATCATCTCCAAACCCTCCGAGATTGTTGTAGCTATTATCTGATAACGATCCTAAATCTTGATGATCGGAGTAGTCGTAATCACCCTTTTTGTCAGCATGACTGTGAGTGAAAAGAATACAAAATACATTTAGGTTTTTAGTACCTAATATTATTAGAAATTAAATTTTCACGTACCTTTCTTCCTGTCGCTTTGTTCTGTTCACCTGAATATCGTCCCCTAGCGGTTTGTTGGTAACGATGCCAACCTGCAATAGGACTGTTGCTACGACCTTAAAGAACAAAAAATTTACTTTTTTAATTTATACAAGCATAAAAATCAAGTTTTCACATATTCTAAAAGGCTCTCAAAAATAAAATATTTTAATACGACTTTGTTTTAAACGGCTCGAAAATTTCCAACAGTTAAAAGTAATTGACGATCATTCAGATGGATTAATAAAGAATTGTTTTGATTTCTATTCAAATTTTGGAGTCGCATTCTTTCATGTTTGTACTGGAAAATCCTTTATGTAACGTAATATCCACTTTACATACACAACTAATTTAATTACTATCACATAATATCACAAACTCCATCAAACTTTCACAGCTTTTCGTCAAAATCACAAAAAAGTGCACTAACCGCTATGTGCCATAGTTTGGTCATCTTGGGGGGGGGGCACCGGGTGCTCGGATGTCGGTGTCGACTGTTGAAAAAGTGACTTCATTGAGTCCTCAAGTGTACGAAATATATAGGTTTGGATGGCGTGTTCTGGGGGAGCATTAGTTTGGAATGGGTACTTTCCCCCTCAGATCTACGATGATGCAAGGCCAAGTCCAAGGCTGGGATATCCATCTCCGAGAAGGTGAAATTAAGCGTGGGGCTGGACGCAGACGATTACTGGTGTAATTGCGTGACCTGGCGGTCATAAACATGCTTAGTGGATTGCTAAAGTAAGCGTGATATTACTGATCGAAAGCGAAAGTCTTAAAATCTTTACGTGCTATGCATAACGCTAATAGATCTTAATCAGGTACCTATTTATTTAACACTGTGATTAGCAATCTGTATTAATTGATAATTATGAGAGTATACTCATTAGATAGGACGTGAGTCGCGTGTCGAGTGCCTTATGGGTTAAAGAGAAACTTTTTTAGATAAGGTACTCGATGAAATATATGCAGTTTACTATATTATGCTTTTTTTTTAATCATTATACTTCACTGCATTTCCGGTTCAATCAGGAAATACTAAATGTTTACCAAAAACATTTAAACATTTATCTGAAAAGTAGAATGTCACAACTTAAGAAAATTTACTTAGCAACCAATTACTTAACATGCGAGGAGAAAAATGGTAAATACAATTTTTTGAAAAATACTGCGCAAGTGACAATTAGACTACATGTTTAATATTTAGTATTGGAATAAAAATCGGAATCTTCAGATACAAAAAAAGTTACCATTTTTTATGTATGTCTTCTCTTTTGAATCATTAATAACACTGGCTTCATTCTATTTACCCTATAATATTTATAAATTTCTCAGTCTGTATTAATTTATTTTAGGTATTTTGGCTTTTAAAATCTCAAGGTAAAGGAGAATTTCATTCTAATGCTTTCAACTTCTACAAAAAAAAATAGAAAAGTAAACTAACAATTATGGAGAAGTATTTACAATATTGCGTGACATAAACTATAAAAATAAAAATGAAAGTATAACTTAAATTATTCATTTTTGATGGTTAGATTAGTTATTCGGTACATTTAACCTGATAGAGTACATCTAAAGGCTAATAATAAAATTTATTGTCATGCAAACTGACTTTGATAAATAATTCAATAGCCTATTACGTTCAATATGCAAACATATAAATAATTTACAGAATTTAATTATCATTTTAATTCAACTATTAAAGAAAGCGAAGATAGCTACTGTTTATTCTTATTTGCAATTAACAATTGCTTTTTATAATAAAACAGCTATTGTAAGAGAGACCGGGGAAAAACGAGGTTCGGGTCAAGATAGAGCTATTCGGACAAACTTAAGTCGCCCTACATCGGTCAGTTAGAAGGGAACGTGTCTCTATTTTTTGCTACACTGAGAAAAAATTGATTTTGTTCATATTTTTACGAAGATTTGTGACAAATGTTGACGTGTTATCAGAACGGAATACTCAATCTGGATAGAAAATATTAAGAAGCCCAAGAAATAAAGTGCGCTTGAAAAACACTTGGATGAGCCATTCCCATCAGTTCTTAATTCTGTTGGGCAGGCAAGTCCTTCGAACTACTTCGGAGAATAGAGCGGAAGGTCTTCTTCAGCTTCCTTTTAGGAATCATGAGAATGTGTGGGTGGCGGTTGGGGTGAGAAAGATGAGAACTGAAAGACCATCTGTGAAATAAAATTATCATTACTATTACCCTAACACAGTGGTTTCCAACCTTTTTGTACCTGCGTCCCCCTTTAAAAAAAATTGTTGCGTCCCCTTTATTTTTCTAACAATCTAATTTCATAAATACTCAACTGATGTTATAATTTATTTAATGGGTTACAAAATAATATAGGATATTATGTAAAAATGTACATAAAATGGATGGATGTTTTAGCATTTGTACCCGAGAAATTCGCGGCGAGGATTGTGGATTAAGTATACCTATTTTGCTGATTCATTTTTTTGACACCTATTCGACTTTTTGGTTTGTATTCGAAAATGATATTTTGGAAACAGCTGCATGCCCCCTTTGTAACAGTCCCGCGCTCTCCTAGGGGGGCGCGCCCCACAGGTGGGAAACCACTGGAATAAGGACTTGTTTAAAATTGTGGTTAATCTTTTCCCTGAATATGTAGAATACATACTATTTATGATGGAATATTTTGAAAATCAGTCACTTCTTCTAATTTTTCGTCTCCTATCGTTATATTCGCTCTTTCTCTAGTTTTTATTCCCTTGCAAACCAGTGACTGATTTTACGTATGTAGGAAGTCAGATAAGTCAGAAAGGAAGCAGTAGTAGGGATATAAAGCAGAGGATAGCACAGGGTCCAGTCGCCTTCAATAAAAAGAAGTCACTTCGATGCTCGCGAACGGTTAATTTAGAAATTCGAAAAGATTGTTAAAGGTGTATGTGTGGAGCGCGTCGTTGTACGGGTGCGAAACATGGACAGTGGGCGCGGCGGAAAAGAAAAGGTTAGAAGCATTCGAAATGTGGTGTTACAGCCGTACGATGGGGATACCGTGGATAGAGAAGGTTAGAAATGAAGAGGTATTAGAAAGAATAGGAGAACAGAAGACTCTATGGAAGTCAATATGAAATAGGCGAGATAGATTGGTAGGACACCTTCTCAGGAGTTAGGAGGAGTAGAGGTAGACCTAGATTAGATTACTGTTCACAAATAGTTAAGGATGTGGGATGTTCTAGTTTTAAGGAAATGCGAAGATTAGCTCAAGATAGGAAAGAGTTGAAGTGCGTGCCCAACCAGTCTTAGGACTGACGACATGATGATGATGATTTTGATAATCAACTTGCTCAATATTCTATAAAAAAACAAGAAAGTCGACCTTAGTCCGCACAAAAAATCATCACCAAGATTCATATTAACAATATATGTCACTAAAAGACGATAGGTACCAATTTTGACACCTATATCTCCACACTTATCTTCCTTTTATATCACATCTCCTAACTCTTAACCTACGTATAAGTTCTCTAAATATTATTTCCACCTATTTGCCTACTCTACTTCTCTAAAATTCCTTCTAATTATATTATAAGCCTCGTCCGTTTTACCTGCTACAAACTTCTGTTCTACTTCTTTACACCTCATATCAATCTACTGTTCGCAATTAGCTACCTTACACTTCCTAATTATTTCCCACTGTATCTCCTATCTTTTTTCGCCTTCGTCGTCTGACCTATTCTTGTATTTCTGCCTATTTTCTATTAGTCCTAAAATCTGGTTAGTTTTACCACGGGTTTCCTACTTTCGTTTTGTTTAAGACCTAATATATTTATAGCTGCAGAATCCAGGCACGTTTTAATGAAGTTAAACTCTGTCTCTACGTCCCTGTCATTCATTTTTCCCGCCTCCTTTAGTATTTCGTCTAACCTAACCTAACCTATCACGCGTTTGGTTGCATTTTACTTTTTCAAGTCAAGACGTCTCCTCCGTTCTATCTTCTTCGTAATTTTAAATTTAAGATTGGTCTTCACAGCTGGATAACTCCTACAGTCCTTCGCTTGATTTTTAAATATTTTCCTTACAAGAATATAATCTAACTAATATCTCTCTAAATCACCTGGCATATCTTCCACGTATAGCGCCTCCTAGCGTGATGTTCAATCAAATAAAGTATTCGCGACGCGATATTTACCGCTAANTATTTTGAGGAGCTTGACGAATCAGTCTATAGAGATGGCATTAATAGACTGGAACACCGCTATGAGAAATGTATCAGCCTTGGAGGAGATTATGTTGAGAAATAAAAAAAAAAAATTTTTAAAAACCTTGTTTTTCTTGGTCAGGCCGGAAACTTATCAATCCACCCTCGTATAATAGGAACTGGTGAATGCAAAAATGCACACTTTAAACAAGAAAAATCTTGCAGCTAAAAGGACAATTTTTTGAAAAGAAATTTACAGAAATCCTCCATTACTTTGTATTTGTCTTTAATTACATGAATGTTTCAATCGTCTTTTGACAGTCTTAAATATTATTTAAAGTTATTTCTCAACCCTCTAATGGCACATCACAAAGCGTTTATTTCTCAATCCTCGGTAGTTAGAGTTAGTTGCCATGTTGTACTAAAAGCTTGGTTATACATTGTTTATCAGTTTTACCGTCTCTTCAGTGATTATTATTTAATTTCTCCCTTTTTATCAAACCTTTTTCGTTGTTTACTTAAGCCACTCGCGATTTCTCATCAACATGTTAATTCTTCTAGGTTTATTTGGAATACGAACACTAGCTGGGGGGTGTAATTTAGGTTCTCTATAAGGCATTAGTACTAGATCAGGAATGAAACCTAAATTATTTAGAAGACGCGAATAATATGGGTTTGCGGATATAAGCAAACCTTCTCGTGCATTAACAGTACCATATCATGGTATATAAACTCTATCTGGAGAGTGTGACCATGAACAACCAAATAGTCATTAAAATATCAAAAGCAATCAATTTCAAAATACTTCAACCTCAAATCATTAAAAAACATTGTGAATACCAATGAGTTGTTTTAAAATCGTAAGATAAACTCAATAAGATCCGAATTTGTTTAAGGACGAATGAAACCTTATGTCATTTCTTTTCTCTACTGCACTAAATTTGAAAATTACGTTGGAAGAGAAAACCTTAAATGACTTTAAAAGAAAATTCCGTAATAAAAACTAGGTCAAAGTTCCGATATCAGTTTCTCACACAGAACTTAAGCCAGTGGTTTCCAACCTTTTTGTACCTGCGTCCCCCTTTAAAAAAAATTGTTGCGTCCCCTTTATTTTTCTAACAATCTAATTTCATAAATACTCAACTGATGTTATAATTTATTTAATGGGTTACAAAATAATATACATACAATATTATGTAAAAATATACATAAAATGGATGGATGTTTTAGCATTTGTAACCGAAAAATTCGCGGCGAGGATTGTGGATTACGTATACCTATTTTGCTGATTCATTTTTTTGACACCTATTCGACTTTTTTGGTTTGTATTCGAA